CTTGAGTCAGCCTCAACCCTCATGGCAAACTCACATAGAAAAGGATGAAATGTTGTCTCGTCCTGTGCCAGCCTCACAGAGGGAGAGAGGGTCCTGGACAGGAATATTGATTGCAGCATGGAAGTTTTGGAATCCCAGCGTTTCAGGCTGAATTGGAATTGACCCGTGTTGGCAGTTGGGAGCCATGGAAGGTGTGTGAGCTGGAACATGCCTTGATGAGATGGCGCATCAGATGGATGCACTCGGCAGCGAGTGCAGGCTGGGCCGGAGGCAGGGAGGGCCCCAGGTGGGATCAGACACCATTTAGTGCAGGCGGGCAAGGGCAAGCTGCTTGAGCTCTGAGGCTCGAGAGGGAGGCTGGGAGGAGGGATGAAGTCACCCCTCATTTCCTCCCAGCAGCTACCCGGCGCTCAGTGCGGTGCTGCCTGCAAGAGCAGTCTTCACCCCGCAGGGCAGTGTGCTGCTGACTCGCTCGTACTGCTGGGACTGCACACAGTCTGCAGTGCCGGGAACTGGGCGCGGTGGAAACAGGTTTAGGCACATAGAAACAGCTCTGGACTCAACCAACTGAGGGACCTGGGTCATAATATCTAATCACCCTCTGCCCTTCCCTGTCCCATGGAGGCAGATGTGGCAGTGGGGGTGGGGGGAGAACCCCACAGAGCACAAGCCCTGAACTCACATTCCCCTGAGCTCACCCACCTGAGTGTACACACATGAACACCTGAGTGTACACATCCCTGAGTGTGCACCCCCCTGGAGTGTACAGACATACCTGAGTATACACACATACTTGGGTGCACACACACCAGATTGCATGCACACACACGCGCTCGCGCACACCCACCCCTGAGAGCACACCTGAATGTGCACCTCAAGGGAAGGTTCAGCAGGCGGAGGGGTGGTTCTAGAGCTGAGAGAGGGCTCAGAGATGAGGTTGTGAAGGAGGAGGCATTTTCTCCAGCCTTGAAGGGTGACTGGAAGGTGAATGGCAGTGATGTCCAGTGGAGGGATCTACATGATCAAAGTCGCCGTTGAAGAAGAATGCAGGGCAAAGTCCCGGGGTTGAGAGTAACCCCAATTTCCTGCCTCCACCCCACCCCGTCGTCTCCAGAAGGCAGCTGAGCCCCACGGAGAGAAGCAAGGAGGAAGACTTCTTGCAGAGAAAGGACCCCATCGGGGTGGGGTCATATGCAAAGCAGGGGAGTCTGGAGGCAGGAAAACTCATCCAAGAAATCAAGGTGGCCCAAGGATGCTGTTGGCACCCCTGGCTGCCCTGGCATTCTCGCCTAGGAATCACACTGGCCATCAACAAACTGCTGGAGAGGCAATTCCCAGTGTCTCCACATTAACGCTTCACCATAAGAAGGACCCGAGAACTGATGTACAGTACAACGTGGATGAACCTGAAAACCCAAGTGAGAGAAGTCATGACACACTCTCTTACGATTTCATTGTGGTGAAATATCAAGCACAGGTCTAGCCATAGCGACCAGGGCAAACGAGGGGGGGCGGCGGCACCCGGGGGGATGGGCAGTGACTGCTGGTGGGGACAGGGTAGTCTTTGGGGGTAAAGAGAATGTTCTAGATGGAGATGGTGGCTGCCCATCACGGATGTCTTAGCGTTATTGTTAAGATGATAGCTTGGGTGCAAGCTGACAAAGCACGTTAGTTTCCACTGAACGATTTATTCTCATTTTGTTGGTGACATTGATGGCAATCCCCTCCGTGTGACAGCCTTCTTCCCACCTCCTCCCTGGCCCCCTTGTTTCCATCCATCCTTCTCCCCTGTGTTTGTGGGGAAATGCAGCCCTTGTGGTCTGAGGGTGCATGCTTCCCTGGTGCAGTGGTTCAGTTTGCAGGCCTGTCTGTTTGTCTGGAAGCTGCTCTGCAGGGCTAGGTTCCATTTCAGGCTTTGAGTTGTCACCAAGGGCCAGTCTGAGGGTTGCCACCCGTCTCGACCAGCCCAGTAAGTCTGGCCTGTCTGATGATTCTGAGTTTGTTCCGCATGTTCTGTATTTTGCTTTCTCTGCATCTAAGACCTTTCAGTGCGATCCTGATCAGAGCTGCTAGAGATGGGAGCTGGGTACCCTTAGGGCTTCTGGTCTCAGGCTAGGGGAGGTTGTGATTTGTGTGGTCCATTTATCCTTGGTAATGATGGTTGTCTTGAGTCTTTGGTCATCCTGAATGTTTTACACGACCCCAAATTGCTCACATTAAAATAGCTAATTTTATGTTCTGCGAACTTCACCTCCATGAAAAAGATAAAAAGACAACAAAACAAACGATATACAGAATCGGCCTGTTCTTTGGCAACACAATCAGCGGTTCATTCTTTGCAGGCTTCCCGTTAAAGGGCAGA